AATAACGCCGACTGCTGGAGAAGGTTCAGGATAACTGGCTGAATGAATAAGACAAGATAAGATGCACGTAATCGCTCCACCTGAACTCTCGGAATGGCCTAACTTAGCGTGGAAAAGGCTGGACACCAGGCCACGTCGGGCATGGAAGGGTGAAGAAGTGTGCATTATGCGCGACTGGTTGAAATCCACGATTTAAGACCAATGATGTAGCCCTAGAGGAGGGGTGACCTTTGCCGTACAAATGGCCGTTTCTCGGCATCCCACATAAATTTTGACAGTTCCCGTAAACTCGATAAATTTTAACGAGGTAAATTGACGGCAAATGCATGGGAACGTGTTCCGAAATCTGTCTATTGCACCTACTACTCCTGGAGTGCAGTACAGTACTGTACACAGGGTTGTTGATATGCGTAAACATTGCGAGGCGTGCACTACAGTACTGGTAGGTGCTCCAGAAGTGCTGCAACAACAAACACAGCGGTAGTTCTGCCTACTTGTACCGGTATTCCCCAAAGGATTTTCAGGGAAATTGTATTGGAAAATTCGTGTGGATAATTACTCTACCTAATGGGCTTTGGATAGGACTGTGAACGGCTGCTCTCAGGGTGTGGTCAGTGTACGGCGTCGAGGCGGCATTTGGATGTCAATTCAAACTCGAAAACCTTTTACATATAATAATTTTTCCCACCATAAACTTTTACAAGATTATTGGCATGAGAGGTTCTCTTTTGTCCAATAATACAGCTCGAACGATTTAATTGGATGAAGTAAATCGGCACATCACTGAACATTCGGCCCATCACTGGTCGATCACGTTAGTATCACAATTCGATACCAATTCAAAGTATAATCCCAAAGTACGATGATTCAAAACTGAATATTTTTTCAAAAAATTCAAAAACTCGAGTGCGTCTATAGTTTTTGTCAGGACTGTACGTCTGGTAACATTTCAAAAATATTTTTCCATTTTCTCGGAAAATGGGATTAACCCAAAATGCCATTTTCAAAATGGAGGTAAAAGGTCCATTTTGTACTATAATACGTAGTACAGTGGTCGGCGGTAGAACCCGGCCAGGGCCACTCTCCAATTTTTTATTAAATAATGAAAAGTGGGGAGGTATGATCCTATGATTTGATAGGATAAAATCACGTGAATAATCAAAGACCAATCACGAAGTCGATTGCCTCTAATTGGCTAGATTCAAATCCAGACTTTGATGCAATTCAAATCTACACACGCACTTTGCGATGAGAGCAACCAAGCGCAAACAGAATCGGTACTCGAACGGCCAGCGCAAGCAGCTCCTGTCTGAGTAATGTGGCGTTTTGGACCTCTTCAACGAGTAAATCCCACGTGGAATTATTGAATTTGGGTTAAACCTCTGTAAGCAAGACATGTTTCAATTTTGATCAGATTTGTTGGATTCGGCCCTAAAATGGCGCTTTGGGCCTGAATATTGCAATATTTCCGGTTACCAGACGAACCCTTAATTATAATTGAACCTGCCTCGTGGTAGCTATACCGTAGTAGAGCAAGTCACTACCGATAGCCATCCACTCGACAACCAACTGCACTAACATTACCGGTAGTATGAAGGGCTATGTTGTTGTGTTGACGAGTTGAGTACACTGTACCACGTACAGTAACTGTAACGTAACGTTACAAATCGCTCTGCCATCCCTGACCACCCCACCACCATGGCCATCCAATGTACGTATGGAACGTGGTCCATCGCAAGGAGCTGGGTGTGTTTCTGAAAACTGTACAGCGCAGCCAAGAGCACCATCTTGACGCTTGCATGTAACTTAGCACATCCGGCTGTACACCATTCGGCAAAGTTGTGCCGTTGTGAAAACCAAGTATGATTGGCTGGTCTGGTGTGATAATTTGGAGGTACAACTGTACCAATTGACATCGACATTTCGTATATATGCGAAATCTGCCTTATTTTGATATCGACATGTCGTATACTTCGAGGTATATGCGAAAGCTGTCGTATTTTTGAGCGAAATTCCACCAGAATTTGGCGTGCCCGAAGTTCGAAGGTGTGAGTAGCCCGAGGTTTCACTTCAAGAAATTCAAATTGGGGGATTGCTAACACTGCCTCCATGACCCAGGCGCCAGCCACCACCTCTTCGCCCGCGATCGTCAGGTGCGGCGGTGGAATCTCTCCAGAAAAGCCTCTCGTGACCCGCCGCTCCAAGCCCTCTCTCGCGTACACGTCCAACTTTCGACATCGTTTGACATGTCTTTAGATCCATACACCATGAAACACACCACCGCTCCGACTCGTGCCCCCACGTGGTCGGTGGGTCGTACTTCTTGCCCCCTCCCGCCGAAGTGGTGACAAGTGTGCGCACAGTTGTCCGAATTCGCCCGCTCCCAACCGCTCGTTCGACCAGTTCGAACAAACGACCGTGGCTACGCTGTCGCCACACGTTAGGTGACAAAGCCGTCGAAGTCGTCGGCGCCAAGCCCACAGACAACAAACTGTACCTGGCAGACCAGGTGTTGAGCGAAGATGCGACCCAAGAAGACGTGTTTACGACTGTCGGTGCACCTGCCGTCGACGCATTGGTCGCTGGCTACAACGGCAGTGTGATTGCATATGGCCAAGTCGGGTCTGGGAAAACCTACACAATGCACGTACGCACAACGTGTGCCACGTCATAGAGTGAATATTTGTATACAATTCATTCCATACGCAGGGAGAGGGCACACAGGAGGATGGGTGGCACCGAGGGCTCATCCCCCGCATCCTGCAGTCGTTGTTTGACACGACTGCAGGTTTACAGCAGGTGTGTACTACTGTACCTACTACGTACTACTACACTCTGGAGTACTTTACAAGTACTACTCCATTGTACAGTAGTACTATTAATAGTACGCAAGTACCAAATCAGTGTATGTCGTCGTGATCTGTAGGTCGAGTGTGTGGTGTCGTTTGTCGAGATCCACAACGAAAAGATCTGGGATTTGCTGGATGTGCGAGCGGTGGACCCGAAGAACATCCGAGAAGACACACGGCTGAACCAAGTGTTTGTCCAGGACTTGGTTCAAGTGCCCGTGTCGTCGGCCGCCGACGCCATCGACTGGCTTGAGAAAGGAATGAAGGCGCGAAAGGTCACTGCCCCCACGGCGCGAAGTGCCGCGAGCTCGCGTGGCCACGGAGTGTTTAGCATCAAGTTACGCCAGCAATTAAGCGATTCCAGCTGCCGAAAAACGGTGCTGCATTGCGTGGACTTGGCTGGTTCGGACAAGAACTTGACGTTGTACCCGTCCACGGCTGCCAAGGACCTGAAAGAGGTGGCTACATACATATACAGCCTTGTTGATGTCGAAGCGATATAGGCATCGCATATCAACAAGTCCCTGTCGTGTTTGGTGGGCGTGCTGTCGGCACTCGTAGACGTCTCCAGTGGCGTGAAGCGGCATGTTCCGTATCGGGACTCGAAGCTGACCTTCTTGTTGCGGGAAGCATTGGGCGGCAACGCCAAAACGACGTTCGTGGCCACAGTGTCGTCGGAGGACAAGTGGATGGCGGACACGCTGTCGACTCTGCAGTTGGTGGATCGTACTACACACGTCACCAGCCGGGTCAAGGTTAACGACAGCGACGGCGTCGAGCGCATGGTTCAGTCGCTGCAGCGAGAAGTGGCCACGTTGAAGCATTCGCTCGCTCATGAGCGACACCGCCCCGACGATGTAGTGGTGATACCTTTCGTGTCACCGGAAGATCACACATTCAAGGAGGTTGATGAGGCAGGTAGTGCCAAGGAAAGGTCGGCGAGCATGCCTGCGCAGACGCTCCATGAGGAGAAGGAAGCGTTGGACCCGATGAATCAAGTGACGCGAGTCGTCCAAGTGTGTTCCGCTCCCACGCATTCAGATGCCGAAGTGAATACGGACCCGGAGATCACATCGTATATGCCGTCATCATCCTGGGAACGACTGCCGTCCATGGAAGCATCGGTAGTTCTCTTCGTAGTCGGGTATTGCGTCGGGCGGTACTTTCGTCCATGACACTTGGTATCAATATTAAATTAAACAGTATTAGATTTAAAAAATTAGAGAGGTACGGGTAAACAATTGCAGCAACGTTGTCCACGACACAGGGCTGTCGAGCACTTTGGAGTATGAGGGATTGAGTGCATCTTGTTCCTTCTGCATGAATGGATGCCGTAGGAGCGCCGGCATGGACATCCGTCGCCGGGGTTCGATGCACAAGAGCGAGTTCAACACGTCGACGGCGTCGGTGGTGAACCGGTCGTGAACCTTCCAAGCAGCGAGTAGTCCTCGGATACCGTGGGTGTGAATGAGCGCATATCGCTCGTCTTCTGCATGGGGTTTCTCCATGGGTGGTGAGCCCACAACCATGATGAACAGCAGTACACCGAGGGACCACATGTCGGCGGCGACGGGATCGTAAGGAATGCCTTGGTAGACTTCTGGAGCCATGTAGAACAGCTTGCCGACTCTGGACGTGGGCGGTGTGGCAGAATGGATGGGTGTGGCGAGCCCAAAGTCGATGAGTTTGCAGTGGTTGTTGGCGTCAAGGAGAACGTTTTCCAGCGAAACATCGCGGTGGGCAAACCCGCACAAGTGCATAAAGTAAAGTCCTTGGCCCACTTGGCGGAAATACCTCTGGGCCAGAGGCAAAGACAGAGCGGTGGCGGCGACGACGGCGTCATAGAGCTCTCCGCCACGGCAGTAGTCGAGGACCATGTGTCGATATCCAAGATCATCGTCGAAGGTCTCATGGAGGTTGAGCACATGTGCATGACCCCCGTGGGCAGCAAACGCGTAGTACACGGCCAGCTCCATCTCGTTGTCTTCCTGGACAGTTCGTGCTTCGTCTTCGTGGGAGCTGGCGGTGACATGGCGAGCCGACGCGGCCAAGTTGATAAGTTTGATAGCGACGAGCTTATTGCCGTGGCGAAGGTCTTTGCACAGCATCACGGGACCAAAGATTGCGTCGGAGAGCTTGGATTCCACCGCGTAGTGCTCCATACTACTGTAGTACTACTATTTTAACAGTAAATCGAATACAGAATGAAACTAATAGCTGCAGAATGGAACACGTTGAACAGCGGTGGTCATTACGTGGACTTGACTTAGGGTCAGCATGGTGGGTAGTCTTTGATATGCGCCTATTGTAAGAAGTAACTCTGGCTTTGACTTTGAATTGCATTACTACGGACGATTACTCGAGTACCTATACAGTACCGGTAACTAACAGTAAGTCTAACGCCACGAGTTAAAAGCATGACGAAGGACGAGCTTGAAGGGATTGGAAGGGCCACTTTGGTGTTGTGTAGTACATACGTTACGTAATGAGCGCCAATAATACCGGAAAGTTGCGGCGGCAGGACAAGTGCAAACTGGGTGAGTTTATTGGGGGGGCAAACTTGGCGACGAAGCTAAGTGCTGGATGTCGTCTACGTCTACCCAGGTACAACTCACGAAAGATTGGAACGGCGCTCACGACTGATGTAACTACTGGTACTTACTGGGAGGAAGCCAGCCACAGTTGAATGACGAGTGAACACATTACTACATACAGGTACGCACAACAATCCGACTTGAAGTTTCACGACGTACACGTAGTAACAAACACGAACGCCTCCACCTTGGTTGATGCATCGTTTATACACCTTTTGTCATATTTGACCAAAGTCAAACCTCTGAATCGTTCGACTCGATTGCCAACACACAATCAATACGGGGGAACAAGTGAATTGTATCAGCCTTGTTTGCAGTGGCGTGGTGGGTTAAAGGCTGACTAAGGGAGCAACGTCAACACTGGCTCACTACCACTACTTACAGACATGGTTGGTCGCAGAGGGGCTGAATTCCTCCGCCAATCACTTCAAAAACTCGACTTCGGTTACACCGAAACCACCGCTTTCATACAGTATTTCGAGAGTTTATCTGACCTCTATAAATGAATAGAGCAAACGATACCATCACTCAGCGCGTCCACATCGAATGCTGGTCTTTACTACCGTAGATCGGTGCCGCATCCGACACTTGGACAGCGCATCCTCGGGGCCCTCGACGTTCTGCTGATGATGGGTTTGGACGATGCAGGAAAGGAGTAAGTACTGTACAGTAGTAGATGGCATTGGTCCAAGTATTCAATGACCTTTCATGGAATTGATCGATTCAAGAGATTCATTGTATTATAAATACTAGGGTATAAATTACAAGCACCACCACGGCACACTAATAAATATGTCTGTCATCCACGCAAGCCATTCATCACGCAGTCACGACACTGTCTGCAATGGACTGAGTTGGCGCCGCCAGAATCTTGCGCGACGACGGGCGACGATTCATATTGCGAAGGCAGTTCATGACTGACGAGGCAATTCCCTTCCCTTTGATGGCCACCGCACGAGATAGGCACTTGGACGACATGCCTTCCACCTTGGTGGACGCCACGTGGACTGCCACTTCGTCCACAGGGTTGCGGACATACTCGTGGTTCATCACTTGATCCATCGTCAAGCGGAACTCGGGGTTGGGGTGCAGCATCAGTTCCAACAGGTCGAGGGCTTCCGGTTCGAACACGCTCGTCATGTTCCACATGTGCACGAGCTTCTTCAACCCCTTGACCTTGAGGATGCGGAAGCGACTGTCGGCGTCGGATGCCATTTCGACAAGCGGAATGCCGGCAAGCATGATGAACAGCATGATGCCCAAAGACCACACGTCAGCCTTAATGGGGTCGTATGACAGACGCGACACGACTTCTGGCGCCATGTAGAATGCTTTGCCGACGCCTTCGTGGCGAAGGCTCGGAACGCTCGCGGCCAAGCCGAAGTCACACACTTTGGCGTTGTTGTGCTCGTCCAAGAGGACGTTCTCGAGGGACAGGTCGCGGTGCGCCAAGCCTTGGGCGTGCATGTAGCGGACCCCCGAGAGGATTTGGCGGAAGTAGCGCAATGATGCATCGTTCGAGAGCTTCTCGGAAGCGTTGATGACGTCAAACAGCTCGCCGCCGCGGCAAAAGTCGAAGACGAAGTGTTCGAAGCCATTTTGAACGAAGTCGGTGCGCATGCGCAAGATGTGTTGGTGTCCCCCTTCCGAGCTGAGCACTTGGTTGACATGTTTTTCAAACATGACGTCCTCGGAGATGCGGCGATGGCCGTTGACCATCGTCTGACTGCGTGCGGCGGTGATGTTCATGCGCTTGATGGCGACTTGATCTCCAGTGAGATTGTCGCGGCAGAGCACCACGTCCCCATACAGGGCGGGTGCCAGTACTCTCTGGACGGTGTATCGCTCCATGCTTGTGATCTGATGGCAACGGTGGAAATCGAATTGTGAGCTTTCTCATGACCGTGTCCGATTGAACGTGCCACCAACATTCTACGGTTTTGTCGAAAGGTCGGGGAGCCAATCAGAAGGGATTTGAAAACTTGTGGACCAATCAAATAGCTCCAACTCATTTGTCGATCTGGCAGTCCTGTCATACACTTGCAGTAAACATGGTTGGGGTAACGATTCCAACATTCAGGGATTGACCATCATAATCGAATTAGTTCACTTGGGCAATTTCCTCGTTTTGGTCAAATCAGCCAGTCCATGGGTGTCGAAACCACCTAATGGGGACGTGAATATCTATGATTTTGGGAAATTCCCCAATTAGACGATCTTAACCGATTGAAACAATTACCTTCTTTGGATTGAATGTGGCAATGTCTCAAGAAGTAGGTACAATGTACTTTACAAAGATTCAGATAAATGATTAGAAGTTTCGAAACGAGGTGTTGCATTTAGGGAATTATACCCCTACATCCTTTGGACACGCGCCGTTGTTTCTGCGACTGGAGCCGCGACAAGCGGATTACGGTGGCTTTGGAGCCGATAATTACGTCATGATCAACCGAAGGCAGATGCGGGTACATACATGTCCAGGCGAGTTCATGTCGCGGCGGGAGACATGATCCGTAAGTACTACATGTAGTATTGTCAAGCAGGGTGAACAATACACTAGTATCACCATCGGGAGCATCACTGTAACAAGTCCTAGGATTCCTCTAATAACTCTGTGGATGTCGTTTGAGGTTTTCCCTTTTTTTTGCTGCCGCACGAACGAATTGGATGAGCATGCATTCCTGCACGAGATTCGTAGAATTTCCATGGGAGCACCAGGGAACAATTCCGACGTCTGCTTGGAATGTACAGAAAGGGACGTGGATCTTTCTAATCGCGACGTCATACATACACCTGGTGCATGCACTGTACATAACGGGACTGACGACGGAAAGTGCATCGGTTTTCAGCGCTAGGTGAAAAAGGGAGAGCAAGGGCAAAACGATGCATCATGGAGTGCAGTGGCGACTGTGGTTGGCCCGTGGCAATGCTAGTAAGTTACACATGTGTTGTGGTTCCGTGGCAGAACACTCTCGTTTGACACAGACTTCGGCAGCCACGAATGATTTGGTTTGTAACTGCAATGAAGTTACAGTTTGCACTAGTACTAGTATTTGACGCAGAGGCCAAGTAACATCATCATCATCACGATTATGGACTCCAAGCTTGCAGGAATCATGATTTCGGTCAACTCAGATGGTGGAGATGCTCTTAATGCGGATTCCACTAAGCGTTCGAGATGACCAGTACTAGTACATAGCAATGGCTTACACCTCCATACTTCGCAGTTCGCAGGCACAACTGAGGAAGCTACTGCACCATCCAAGCAAGCGTTCCACCGTAGCGATGACGTCGGTGTCCTCCCAGCATCGACGCGAAGATGCGAAGGCAATGTGACGTACGTAGTTCAGACGTGTACTGGGACTGTCAAAACCTCCGCAAACACAACCTTTTTGTAGAATTTCTCATCCGGATAAGCCCTCATTTTTAATCATGATGACAAGCTGCTTCGCGCCTTGGAGGAGCGACAATCTTGTATCCAGCGAGTTTCAGTCGACAAACAAACCTGCAAAACAAAGTAAAGTTGTTGCATTAGATTATGCAGCATAAATGCGAGCGACCCGTAGCAAATTGGTGGGGCGGTTTTGACCTCTCCGCAATTTGCAACTGGTACTACTAGTACGTAGTATTTATTATAAATCGAGAAATGTCTCATTTGCGTAGCAAAATGCAAAATAAAATAGTAACGTTATGCGGAGGTTTTGGTAGGCTGGCTGAGTCAGTACCAAAACGAAATTCAAAGTTACAGTGGTATTTTTTAGGTCCAATTATGAAAAAAAGTCGAAAAAATAATGAAAATGGTTCTGATTTGACAGTTTCGATCGACGTCATGTGGCCGTCGCTGGAAGAGCACAACCTGAAGAAGTCAGGGTCAGCGCTGGTGCTGTGCGCAGCGCTCTTGGTGCGATGGCTGGTTTCATTGCACTCGTACTCGGGCATGAGCACGCCGCCAATGTACGGTGACTATGAAGCCCAGCGGCATTGGATGGAGCTCACGTATCACCTCCCCGTGCATGACTGGTACTTTTACGACCTGCAGTACTGGGGGCTCGATTACCCTCCGCTCACGGCGTATGTGTCGTACTTCTTCGGCTACATCGCTCAATTCGTCGAGCCTGCGCTTGTGGCGTTGGATACGTCCCGAGGGTACGAAACTCCCTCGTCCAAGGTGTTCATGCGATTGTCGGTCCTTGTATGCGACATTGTGCTCTTCATTCCATCTCTCCTTCTCTTGGCCAAAGGGTTGTACAAGCAGCAGTGGGCCTTGCGCATGGAATTCCTCATGCTCGTGCTGCTGCAACCAGCGTTCGTGCTCATCGACCATGGCCACTTCCAGGTATACAGTACCCCATCGATGATCAACAACAATCATGTACCCACATGTGTCTATCCAGTACAACAACGTGTCGCTGGGCTTCACGACGCTGGCTGTTGCGAGCATCCTGCAAGACCACGAAGTCCTCGGCTCCATCTTCTTCTGTTGCGCGTTGAACTTCAAGCAAATGGCACTGTACTTTGCTCCAGCCATCACGTTTTACCTCGTGGCCAAGTGCCTATACCGACCCCACGCCATCCTGCACTTCGTCAAGCTTGGCGTGACTGTGATCGCGTCGTTTGCAGTCCTCTGGCTGCCCTTGTGCGCGTCCACGGGCCACGCCACCTGCGGCCCCACTCTGGCTCAAAGTACGTATGCCTCCATCCATCCATCCATCGTCGTCGCTACAACTAACCGTGCGTTATTCGTAGTGCTTCACCGCGTGTTTCCCATTGCCCGAGGACTCTTTGAAGACAAAGTGGCCAATGTATGGTGCTGCTTGGACCTGTTTCTCAAGCTCCGCCACCACATCTCGCCCCCACACCTCGTCTACCTCTGGTACATCCTCGTGCGTCGTCGTTATTTGTCGCTCGGACACGCTCTTATATTTGTAGCACGGGGGCCACCTTGGTTGGCTTTTTGCCGTCGGTCGTCGACCTGGTGCGGCGCCCGCCGTCGCGCGTGCGATTCTTCCTCGCGCTCTTCAACTCGTCCATGTCGTTCTTTCTCTTCTCGTTCCAAGTGCATGAGAAGACCATCCTACTGCCTCTCCTTCCCGTCACGTTTCTCCTGTCGGAAGCCACGCTCTTGGCCAGCTGGTTTGGCCTCGTCGCTACGTTTAGGTTTGCCCCGTGAATGATTTACGATGGAAAGGTGGTGGGGGACCTTAACATTACACGACCCCACTCCATAGCATGTATTTCCTCCTCGTCAAAGACGGGCTCGTGGTGCCGTACGTTGTCGCAGTTGTGGGCTACACAGCGTTTGGCATTGTGCCCTACTACTGGACCAAATCCAGACTCTCGCCGATTTCGTCCGCCCCTGGCACGCCCCCCCAATGGCAACGCCATTATGTGCTGGTACGTCGTTTCACTTATTCGAACGTTGTGGAAGGGATTTTTCTTCATTTACTTAGGTGTCTGTGGTTGGGATCTTCGTCCTCCAAGTGCTGGCGTGGGTCGTGCCTCCGCCAACCAAACTCCCCCATATCCACGAGTACTTGTTTGCGTTGTACTCGTGTGGCCACTTTGTATTGGCACTGGTGTACACGACATATTGGCAATGGACAGCCCCGGATGCGACCCCCAAACACAAACTCGAATAAGGAGTTGTTAGAATCATCGAATGAACAGTATGAATACTAACTATACTACGCATTTCCGTTTATATTTTGGGTTTGTATAAATAATGTAAAATCGGGGACGACAAGTTACATGGTCGTGGTGATGGACTTGAAGTACGACAGCGGCAACGCCGACGCTCGGGAGATGTGACTGAGCAGGGGAGAACTCGCGGCGCGCCGTTGCCGAGTCACGACCGGTGGTTCAGGCTGGAACAAGGGATGGGCCAGCACTTGGGCCATCGACAAGCGTTCGGAGGCGCTGGGGCGCAACAGCTTCGTGAGCAGGTCCACGGCGTTCTCGCTCACACTTCTAGAGGATGGATGCGCTTCCAGAACACGCTGGATGCCCGTGGCGGGGTCCGCGGCTTGGGCATGGAAGAAGAGGTGGAAGGTCGGGTCGGTCATGGCCGCCTTCTCGAAGAGGGGCCGACCAGTCACGAGCATGAACAGCAAGATACCCAGCGCCCAGCGATCGCTGGCCAGGGCGTTGTATGGCCGCCGCAGGTGCATTTCAGGACTCATGTAGTACAGCTTGCCCACGCCAGCGTACCGAGTGACTGCGCGGACCATCGCGAGCCCAAAGTCGCACAATTTGACTGAATGAACACCGTCGTGGACCAAGATGTTTTCGAGGGAGATGTCGCCGTGGGCAATCTCCAACCCATGGAGGTGGTTCACGGCACCCGCGACTTGCTTGAAGACGGCCACGGCGTCCGATTCCGTCCACGTCGAGTTGAACGATGTCACCAACTGGGTCAACATGTCCCCGCCAACACAGTACTCGAACACCAAATGGAGCGCGTCGTCAACTAGGAACGAGTCGCGCATGCTCACAATCCCATCGTACGCATGATTCGCAATGATGTGGTTGATGTGCATTTCTTTGTACGCAGCGCAGTCCAGTGGTAATACCTCCATAGATGACGCGGTGACAGGAATCTTCTTGATCACAACGATGTCGTTTGACGGGAGATGACGGTACAGAAAGATGTTGGTATTGCCTCCCGCGTTCAAGCGCTGGACCAGTTCGTATGCCGAGGAAAGGAGGGCCATGTTGGTTCACACAATTGCCAAGTGCGGTCAGCCTTGGCAGGACCTCAGCGGGGGACGTTGCGCTGGGCGTACACTGTAGTGGTTGCTAACCTATCTTCTTCAAGCAGAGGCATACCGTAGGCATTACACTGAAAAGTGATTACATCAAAGTCAAATAAAATCATTTTGAGTTTGTATATGAGAGAAACATTATAAATGGTGAGAGAGTGATTTTGGCATACCGCATGACACTTGTTAAAACTCGCACTGATTGGATGATCAACTGCAACGTAAGCGATGACGTCGGCTTGACACTCAATTCTTATTCCATCGAAACGTATGTAATCAACAGGAATTGCTAAACTTTCGACGAGTCTCGAGAATAAAAATATTTGGAGAGGAGCCAAATAATCATGAGACAGACACTCTCGTTCATACTCTCTCAAACAACTGTATCAAAGTATTGAACTGAAAAACAATTCACTTTCAACTCTCCAAATGGCTGCGAACGGGGGGAGCAAAGGTCAGGCTGGTCGCATTTTATCAATACAAATCGAATAATAGTACTACTGTACGTAGTACTACGTAGTACTAGTACTGTACCATAATCCAACAACCCCATACTTTACAAATGAAATTCAATCAATTATATCAACATTGAACACTGTGGATCTCATCACCCAGGGCTGGGGAAAAAATAATTGTAATTTAAATTAATCGTAATTGTACCACTGCAATAATTTATTTTCAGTGCTTGCTGACAGTTCGATCACCAGTACCAATAACAAATTGGTGGACCATATTGACCAATAATTGTTTAATTGTATTCAACCTCCTCCCTTCTCATTACTATGAATCAAAGCGCCCTTATACCTCATACTAGTACTCCCCAAAGGAGCTCGCCAAACTCTTCGACAAGATCGACGAATCGTCGTCCGCAACCCCAAAACTCGCAAGCACCGCATCGTAACTCGGTTCAAGTGTCGCCGGTGCGCGACATCCACAATCATCACCATCAGGAAGTCGACTGGCTACCAAAACCTTGCCCAACACGTGAACTCTGCACCGAAACTTCTTCGCCACCGTCCTGACGACACAAGTCCGGACGAAGAGGTTGAAGGGGGTGACGATGACGAGTTCGATGAGTTCGAATATAAATAGTTTAAAATGTACCATTTGTTTGAAAAAATTCATCTTAAAAATATATACATTTTCCGGAAATACTTGGCGCACCACGGGAATTGAACCTAGGGCCCATCCACCACCGCCTGATCGTCAAACCGACATGCTACGCGCCAATGCCTTGACTTGTTACTTTGACCATCGTTTAGGTCAGAATTATCGAAAATATGGACAATAATTGTTCCGAGTCAGAAATATTGAATTTTTCGGTTGCTCAAATTTCAATAAAATTATGAATTGTTCTTCCGAACGACAATATATTGAAATTATATATTGACAAGCTAAAATTAATTTAAATATATTTTCCCCCAGCCCTGCACACAACGTCTTCCGTACCGGTACTACAGACGCCTGGAGCAGCAGGGTATCGATATTTTAAGAAGCACGTCTACTTCGATTTGTGTTTAATTTTGCAATCTGATTGGACGAGTTACTTCGAACTTCTGGTGATTTTTCAACAAACCAAAATGCAGCATCATAAATTTTATTCATTTCAAACACACATTACATTTTATATTGTGGGTCACAAAATGCCGAGGAAGCCAAGGTGTGTTTACTTGGTAAAATTTTCGATACCCATATTAAATGAAGCCGTGTATAAGGTTTAAAAAAGGTTGTACTGCCCAATCAGGCCCCATGCTAATCCTTCACTCCTAACACACAAGATCCCCTTGCATTTCGCAAGCTTCAACGTGACCACCTTGTAAGGCGGAGGTATTGTGCTTTTAATGTAATTTGCCCGTTGTTTAACTGCGTTAAACAACCAGGCGTTTAAAATAAAATAAGCCTCATTGAAGATAAAACAACGCTAAACCCAAGTTCTGCATTTCAGCAGAATAAAACAAACCTTACTTTATTTCAGCCGCTAACTAACGTTAATCGAGTTGCAGCACCAGGCAAACTTACGCAGAGCAACCACCAGTTCATCACGATGCATACCGTATTAGGATGTGAAATGGGAGTACTATACATCGTGTAGTCGTAGTGCGCCGTTGCTTTCCACGCACAGTACTAACGTTAGTACAGATCAAGTGTTGTAGGTATGACATAGCTTTGAATCATTGGACAGAGTGACGACTAGCCTATCTACTACGTATATCGCTAACGTTATAAATTTCTCGGAGTAACTAATGTTTGTAGTGATCACGGATGGGAAGTCATAAGTGTGGCCTTGGCTGCTTCAGTGTCATTGCGGCAAGCACCTTAACGTGTTAACGTAAAACAAGTTGTTTGCCGTTTTCATTCTGTCAAACAACTTGCTTTACGAAAGTGCCTGTAAAACCACCTTCAATCAACCAATTTCGGGGTCCGTTATTCAAGTTACTTTAGGCGTTATTTAAGCCTAAAAAGAATTTAAACAATGAATTTAACCCTGGAATAGTCAAAAAAGGCGCAAAGTACAATACCATCAGATTAAACATATACGCCAAATGCAGTGCTGTTCAGCCACTTGTTGCGTTCGGAGTGATGGCAGTGACAACGCACCAGCTTCCTTCGGACGCGATCTTGTAGCCTTGCTTGCTGACGTGGGCGTCAAAATTGTCCAGCAACAGGACAGAAGGCTCCTCGATTTTCGGTGCAAGCAGTCGACGAAGGTAGATAGACCAGACGCGGACATCCATCCACGCGCTTTCTTGTACTGCATAGTAGTGTCCCATTGGGAATTCCTCGAGCTCAAATCGATTAATGACGCCACCAGCAATACCCTTCATGATGAAGAGTATCGGGAGCTTCGAACCATCTGCTCGGATTGTCAGGACCGCTGTCATTCGAAACGAGTGTTTTGCACTGCTGCTGACCTTTGCATTTTCCCGCGTTTCGACCAAATCGCGTTGGGAGGTATATCGTAGTACATACCAGTTTCATCTACGTTGTTCAGGGTGTTTGCTGATCGATTTGATTTGGTTACATAGGGTTTAAATGATCGGCTACTGCGTTTTTGATCAGTA